TTAAACAACTGAGCTAAGGCCAGGCCCCCTATAATTTATTTTTGAATTGTATTTCTTTATTGTGGATACTGGGCCCTTAATACATGATTCACTTTTTTTTCTTTAAGAGCCTTACTGTGCAGTTTAGGCTGGCCTTGAATTCAAAGCATGCCTCAACCTCCCAAGAGTTGGGATTATAGGTGTGCACTGCCATGCTGGTCACAGATACTTTATTTATTTTGGCGGAACCGGGAATTGAACTCGGGCCCTTGCGCTTGCCAGGGAAGCACTTATTCCACTGAGCCATCTCCCCGGCCCCATGGTTACAGATACTTTAGAAGAGGAATTACTTTCAATTTTGAAAGACCTAAGCTGCTTTAGTGTTGTACAGTGGGCCTATCCTGTGATTCTCCAGTCGGTGTTGATGTAACTGGCATTTTATTTTGTGTTTAAGGGATGAGGATGCTCCTGCCAAGGTTCCAGATGAAGAGGCCACAAAGCCGGAAGGCTGGTTAGATGATGAGCCCGAGTATGTGCCTGACCCAGATGCAGAGAAGCCGGAGGACTGGTGAGAGGCCTGGGCTTTACTCTTACATGACCTGGTTGTTTATTGTCGGGTTTTTTCTTCCAGTTTGGAAGCAGATACTTTATTAACTGACCATATCCTAAAAACACCATGGTAGATACCTTAGTTCATCCTTCTAATAAGCTTATTGATCTGGTCTTCCCTGTTTCCAGCATCTCCACCTTCCACAAAATGGGTGGTCTTTTTTTTTCATTCCACCGCGTGGAGATGATAACTTGAACTGCCACAGGAAGTTATTTGCTGCTTTGAAGCATTTTCCAACAGTGTAGATCTCACGAACCAGATCCTCCATGCAGATGATTCCATATTTACCAAGAGATCGAGCAGTCAATGAGTTATCCGTCAAGGCAATTCGCTTCTTCCTGATCTTGCTGTAGCCACGCTCGTATATTAGTTCGTTCACTGACTTCAGGTTTGGGTGCCCCATGCAGTACATGGCTGCACAATTCTCAGCATGCTAATTGAAGCCCAGTTGAGCTTAACGAAGGTACCATTGAAGGTTTGGCGAAGGCAGAGAAGCTGCAGCACCTTGTGGATCTTTGGGCTTGCACCTTTGATACCCCTGACCTGGATGACAAAGGCCAGTTTGGGCTCTGCAGGGACACAGAGGTTGCCAGCTTCTCTCGCCATCCTCGCCATTCAGATCTCAGTTCTTTACTCCTTATGACAGTGCCTGGCTTTTCCATAGATGAGTTGCCTTCTCGCCTTGCGAAGCGTCTTCTGGGCAAACTTTTTTTCTCCGGTACTTTATTGTCTTCAATTCTGTGAAATGTCTTTGCTTTTTCTTCAGGGTTTCTGGCACAGCAGGAACCTTCTTTTTCTGCTTATTTTCTTCTCTTCTACACCCTCCATGGTTCCAGCTGGAAAAGAACCATTACCTATTTTTTTATTAAAATAAATGTTAATTTTTAAATAGTCAAGAGCCCAAACTTAAAGGGAGTGCTCTACAAACGTAATTGCATTTCATCATGGGTTTTATAATGCGTCTATTTCAACAAGTGATTGTTACTGGAGACGAGAAGCAAGAAGATGGTGTTCTATAAGACTCAGAGAAAGCATCTCAGCTGGACCTGGGGGAGTGCTGGGCTGGGAATGAGTTCGTAATGCACCCTCCAGAACCTTTTTGTAATTTGTTGTGTGCTTCCCACAGGGATGAGGACATGGATGGGGAATGGGAGGCCCCTCAGATTGCCAACCCTAAGTGTGAGGCTGCTCCTGGCTGCGGGGTCTGGCAGCGACCTATGATTGATAACCCCAACTATAAGGGCAAGTGGAAGCCGCCTATGATTGACAACCCTAACTACCAGGTTTGTGCCTCTTGATAGTTGAGCTGCTTTCACTAATCTCTTGAGTCTGGACAGAAGTTTTGTCTGCAGCAAGGCTGCTGGGTTGATCACTATATTTACAGTGGAACTAAGAGCAAGAAGTAAGCTAAGTGTTGTAGTGCAGGCCTGTGATTCCAGCAAGCACTCTGGGATACTGAGGCCAGGTGATGTGCTTGGGAAATTTAGTGATTTACTGAGATACTGTCTCAAAAAAAAAAAAAAAAAAAAAGCTGAGAATGGTGGCTCATGCCTATTAATCCTAGCTAGCACTCAGGAAGCTGAGGCAGACAGATCATTGAGTTTGAGGCCAACCTGAACTAGGTATGAAGACCTCAAAACAATGAAATACAAGAGTTAGCAATATAGCTCAGCTGAATGCAACTGCTTCAGCCCTTAGTACCATCAACAGAAAAAGAGGGAGCACTTAGTGGGAAGAGGTACAGAGGCAGCCAGGTATGGCGGTGTGGGCCTGGCATCCCAGTGACATGGGAGGTCTAGAGAGGACTGTAAGTTGGAAGCCAGCCTGGGTGACTTAGTGAGACCCTGCCTCAAAATTTTGAAACAAAGAGGGCTGGAATTAGTGGAACAACATTGAACCAGCATATACATGGCCCTGAATTTAATCAACAGTGCCTTTCACAAGTGTTGTGACAGACCTAGAAAATGGAGAGACAAGCTTTCATAATTCTTTTGTAACTTATATTTAAAGACAAAAAAAGACATAAGGACAAGAGTGAAGGGCTGGTGAGACAGCTCAGTGGTCTAAAGTGCCTGCATAGGCAAGCAAAGGGACTGCAATTCAATCCCTGGCACAACATGCCACACCAGCCCCGTCAGTAGGGCGGGGTAAGCAAAAAAAAAAAGTGAAAAAAACTGAAGAAAAAAGGTGAGCTTGTGATTGGATACCTTCAGCCACAGGATCTGCATCTCAAGATTGACGGTCCCATGAGGTTGCAGGACTGGGATAGGTGTTGACACCTCCAGCTCGTGGTTAGCTCTTTTCTGGGTCTGTGCCTTCACCAGTGAAGCGACTGTGGCTCATGGGAGCTGATACAGACGCTTCTAGGGACCACGTGACTTCCTTACTGTGGAAGTGTTCAGCCTCAGGTCCCTGTCTCCCTGTTGTTTCTAAGCTAATGAAACTATAATCACTCATTTCTACTTGGTCAGAATTTAAAATGTAAGGTGTAGGGCTGTGGAAATGGCTCAGTGGCACAGTGCCTGCATGGCAAGCATGTGAGCTCCTGAGTCCCATTCCCTGTACCAAAAAAAAGGTGTAAGTTTGTCTATATACATCCGTTTCTGTTGTAAAACGTTTTAAGTTTTGTACTCAGACAAAATAAAAATTGCACTTAAACACTCGATGCTGAGGCACACTTAGGGATTTGAGGCTGGCCTGGGTTACATAATGAGACGTTATGTCAAGAACCAAAAAGGCGGGCTATGGTAGCACGTGTGTTGTCTTTTGGGAGGGATGGGGAGAAGAGGTTTATGTAGCTCGCAGTTTGTAGGGCTTTCATTCCATAATTAGCTCCAAGGCAGGGTAGCATGGCAGAGGGGCACTGTGTAAGAGAAGCAGTTGACAGTGGGCAGAAGGTAGCAAAGCAAACAAGAGGGTAGCACATGCTTCTAATCCCAGCGTTGGGGCAGCTGAGGCAGGAGGATCACTGTGAGTTTGAGAGCAGCCTAGGCTACATAGTGAGGGTTTTGGGGAGCAAGGGGGTGGATGCTGGGCATCAAATTCAGGACTTTGCACTTGCCAGGCAAGCACTTGTGCCAATGAGCTATATCCCTGGCCTCACATAGTGAGTTAAAGGCTGACCTGAACTACATAGTGAGACCCTCTTTTTCTCAAAAATAAATACCAAAAAAGGAAACAAAAATTACCCTTAAAAATATGGCCATTTAGCTCTTGTATTGGTGGCTGTTTAGGTGCATTGCCACTTTTGCTTTTAGCTTCAGTGTAGCAAGCCGTAATCCTCGTACCTTCTGAGCACACATAGTATTTTTTTGAGGCAGTTATCTAGCCCTGAATTGCTGGTTGGAGATCACATGTGTCTTATTTTAAGTCACCACCAAGAAAATCTGTAACTGAGGTAGGCTCCCACTCCCAGTAGCCATTGAGAAGCATGGAAACTCTTGGAAAGGCTGGGTAAATTGAAGGTGTAAGACTGGCACAAGGTCACAGATGCTACAAATTGAGAGTAGCTGGAATCCAAAAATCTGGGAGACAGGTTTGTTTGGTTTTCTTTTAGGCCACAAGACAAGTTTTAGTAAGTTTTAAAAAATTGAACTCATATTAATTTCATTTCCCAAAATAATGTTATGAAACTTGAAATCAGTAGTAGGAAGAACATAGGAAATTTCACATATAAATCAAAATTTAACAATAATCTCTTGAGCAACTAATGAAAGGATTAAAAATATCTTGTTTTTTTTTTTGGTAGGACAGTTCCAATAATTAACACATTGCATACATTCTTTTTTTTTTTATTTTAACATTTATTGTGGGGGGGGGCAGCTCAGCCCACCAGGGGGCGGGCTGGCTGGCATGTGGTGCTGGAGGATTGAACCGCAGTCCCTGTGCTTTGCCAAGCTTGTTCCAAGTAGGTGCTTTAGACCACTGAGCCATCTCTCCAGCCCCCATACATTCTTCCTAGTGGTTAACTGCTGTATAAGATGCAGACATGATAATCCTATTTACAAACACCATTAGAACAAATCCCTCTATTCATTAAGAGAATGTAACTATATATCTATCCTAACCATTTTGAATACACAGATACAAAATGGACATTCATCTGTATCCCCTTTTTTTGTTAAGTTCCGTTATTTGAATATTATAGGTGTGTTAACTCAGCAAAATATTCTAAAAAGAGTCCAGTAGTCCATAATAGTATTGGGTCTTCTGCTTCACTGGCAACGTCAGAAATTGTTCACCTGAGTCCCCTACAGCTCAACATAACACCATGGCTTTACTTCTTATACTTCGTTTTTATATTTTCCTGCTGAATGGTTAAGACCAAGGTAAAGCAGGACCTATGCAACAAGAGTTGTAGCTTTTGGGTCTGATAAGGTCAGTGAAATGCCCTCAGGATTTATCCTGAGATCCTGTACCTCAGATTGTAGAACCTTTGTCAGTGTCAGCCATGTGGATGAGTCATGGCCATTGCTTGGGCAGTTTGCTCTCTGTGAAAGCTTGAGAGAATGTTTTCTCTCCATGTGACTCTCCTTAGGCACTCTCTACATCATCGATCACTTTCCTCTTTGGCCCCATAATCTCCTTGATCAGAAAATTTGGGACACAACTGAGTTACAGGATGTTACAGTACAAGTTCTCATATGTCCTGATTCTTAATTGACCTTGGAAGGCTAGGGCCAAAATGTTGACTTTCCTTGCGGCCCTCCTTTTTCTCATCAAGTATTGATATATTGAACTTTAAGTCCCTACAGAATATGATGAAAAAACATTTAAAAATTAGAATATATGTTAAAAAATAGGCATAAAGAATTATATAATTCTTATGTTTACACATAAGTCCAAAAATCTAACCATATACAACCTTGAAGCAGGATAGTCCCACAACATTCCTTTTCCTGTCTCCTGCGACAGTATGGTTTTTTAAAAAATAGCTTTGAGGGGCTGGTGAGATGGCTCAGTGGTCTAAAGCACCTACTTAGAACAAGCTTGGCAAAGCACAGGGACCACGGTTCGATCCCCCAGCACCACATGCCAGCCAGCCCCGCCCCCTGGTGGGCTGAACTGGCCACACACACACACACACACTAAATAAATAAATGTTTTTAAAAAAAAAAAATAGCTTTGGGTATGGTGGCACACACCTGTGGTCCCAGCTGAGGCAGGAAGATTGCCATGAGTTCAAGCCCAGTGTGGACTACACAACGAGACCCTGTCTCAAAAAATGTTAAAAAGTAAAAAAGGAAAAGGCTTTTGATAAATTCAGTATCAACAGTGTCAGGCACAATTTATCATATAGTTTTTATTATCTGAAATAAATTTTGGATTTTTTTTTTTTTTAAAGGGAATCTGGAAGCCCAGGAAAATACCAAATCCAGGTTTCTTTGAAGATCTGCACCCTTTCAGGATGACTCCGTTTAGTGCTATTGGTTTGGAGCTGTGGTCCATGACTTCTGACATTTTTTTTGACAACTTCATCATTAGTAGTGAGCGAACAGTCATTGATGATTGGGCCAGTGATGGTTGGAGCCTAAAGAAAGCTGCTGATGGCGCTGCTGAGGTTTGTCCTTACTTGTTCCTTGTGTCTTTATATCCAGTAGAGGTCACTCATTGTTTTGTGAAGAGCTATTTATGATTTTTATTTTATTTTTTTGGTGGAACTGGGGATTGAACTCAGGCCCTTGCGCTTGCCAGGCAAGCACTTATTCTACTGAGCTATCTCCCCAGCCCCTATTTATTTATTTTTGTATCAGGGATCAAACTTGGGACCTTGCACTTACCAGGCAGGTGCTTATGCCACTGAATTATCTCCCCAGCCAAGAGATATCTTTTAGGGTTTATTTTTTTCCTTATTTGGGAGTATTGTCAGAGAAAGTATAACTGTCTACTGCCTACTAAAGAAAAAAATACTGGATTTTTGGATGATTTTATTAATCTAATGTAATGAGCTTAGAATTCCTATTAGCATTATGTTCAGGGTTGTTTAATGGATGTCAAAATTTACCATTTAGGGTTTGTTGAGTCTTGGCTTACTCCATGTACAGAATTTTCAAACATTCATGTGAGTGAGCTAAGTAGTAGAAGGCCAGGGACACTGAGATCAAGACATTCTTATTGTTCATGGTAACACATGCTTAGGAGGCGAAGCAGGAGGCTCAGGAGTGTGAGGCCAGCCTGGCTGAGTAGCTAGGCCCTGTCTCAAGGGGAGCTCTTCATAGGCTGGAGCTATAGCTTCCACTTCATGTCTGGGGTTAGAAGCCAACTTTCCATCCTTGCTGCTTGTTTTTCAGCCGGGCGTCGTGGGGCAGATGCTTGAGGCAGCTGAAGAGCGCCCGTGGCTCTGGGTGGTCTACATTTTGACTGTGGCTTTGCCTGTGTTCCTTGTAATCCTCTTCTGCTGTTCTGGAAAGGTAAGAGTTTTTTTGAAATTACTTTTAGAATGAACTCTTACATTGTTTAAAATAACTAAAATACTTTGCCTGAGGTTTTCTTTGTAACAGCTTGGTAACAACTGAGCCACATTTTGAATTGACTCAGAAACCCGTATTCACTCATTGTGTCCATGTGGGAGTAGGACTTTGGCCCTAACTGCCCGGATTATTTGGTCTGTACCATCACTTCCCTAAACATTTGGTGCAGTTTTTCTTAAAGGGAGAACAAACCAGCTTTTCCTCCTGCCATTGCTTTTTTTCTTTTTTTTTTTTTTTTGCAGAACCGGGGATTAAACTTAGGCCCTTGTGCCATTTCTGTTCTTATGCTTCATAATTTGATCTTCCATTTTTCATTCTTTGCTCCCCAGCTCTGCTAGTCTTCTCAGAGCAATACACATGTGGGCCCTGTTGTGAGTTTTCTTGTTTAGCTGTTGTATGTTCTCTACTTCTGTAATGGAGGATTATTCTTCACCTTGGATCCATAGCACTTCGTGACCACCTCTGAATCTCTGAAGTTCCTTTTTCAGTCTTATCTTTATCTCTGCCTAAGTGCAAGTGACAAAGCTAGAGCTGTACTTTCTTTTTTTTTTTTTTTTTT